CCCGAGTGTTAGCGTGAGTAGGACGGTGGTCACCACCTTATGTGTAGGGTGTGTTGCAGTTGTGTTAAATAAATAGTGTTGCCTCCACACGAGTGTAAGCGCCTCTATCGAACCATTACACACGTGCACACACAGAAAATCAGTGAGAGAGGGGACGACTCGGAGGCCCAAAGAGGAACTATAATGGTGAGCCGGCACTACCAACAATTGCCCAAGCTCTGTAGTCCTCCAAGTGTGAAAATGTTATCGGCCTCTTAATGAATGTTTAGAAATGGGAGGAGGAGACCGGAGCACCCGGAGAAAACCCACGTGAGCAAGGGGGCAACGCTCTATCCCAAACAGACGGGACAGATTAGTCCGCACTTTGCTGTACCGCCTTCTCCCGGCAGAGCCAGGGGTACGGCTCCTCCTCGACCCAGCCACCCGCTGATCCACCGATCCCTCGCTGCCTCAGCGCTGGGTCACGGGCCACGCCACGTGCGGCAGCGTGGCCACTGCCGATACCCGGCTAACGATACATCTACACAGTACACAGACTCAACCATCGGCATTGCATGAGCGTGGAGGGGGGCCCTGGCTCTCCCCCATGTCTGCTTTGAGGAGGGGGGGGGGGCAGGGGGGGGGGGGCAGGGGGGGGGGGGGGGGTTGGCGTCGCACCTTGAGCCAGTCGTCCTGCTGCCGCAGCTTCTCACAGGCCGCGTCTCCGCTCCACAGCTCTCCCTGCGACCACGGGACGAGGTGAGACGAGGTGAGACGAGGTGAGACGAGTAGAGACGAGGTATGTACGCGTGTATGTTGAACTTCTTTCGCACCGTGCGTAAGCCAACCATGCCAGTCGGAGGCGTGCGAGCTCGACTCTTGCCTACCCCAACTCACGAATCCTCTACCAAGTGGAGGAGTTCAGCCGGGCGGGAGAGATCGCCGAGACGGAGCAGGTTGGGCGCCATGGTCGGACGGCGCTCACCAGGGCCGGATTAAGGTTCTTGTAGGGCACTCTCTCGTAGGCCTTCAGTGATAACTCTCGACAGTTGTTACCGCTGCCCCGTGCTGCTACTCCCGCCGCTGTCACTCGGCTTGTTTCATGCGGACTTCGTCCAGCCGCTGGACAGATGTCGTTACCGATGCGTTCATTGTTTAGCCTGCGTCCTCGTTCGCCGCAGATAAGCAGATGTAATTTGAAATCATTGGAGAGAAAAAAAAACAAGGTAAGCCTCGAAATATTACAAGCGAAAAATGCTTCGACTATTTTTGTTACTACGATTATCATATCGGATGACAAGGCTTTAAAAGGATGCCGTTCATTTTCATCAATTTAACGTTCTGACGGGATGACCGCATGGTGAGCACCATGTTGCTTTACTTTCGTTTAAGCTTGAAGATTTGTGTCGCTGTTATTTTAGGTGAAATATGCCTCGCTCGCAACGAGTCAACGACTTGTTAACCACTGCAAAGAAATGTCAACGAGCAGCCGTACAAATATATTTATTCGAGAAGATATCTTGCTGAATTTTTTTTTTGATCATGAAGACAAAAAAAAAACAACGTCACATTTCTTTGTAGGCCCTTCAGTTTTCGTAGGCCCCAGGCACAGTGCCTACTGTGGCCTATTGGATAATACGGCCCTGGCGCTTACCTTGGTGAGGAGGAGGAGGCTGCGCGAGAGTCCCGGTGAGCGAGGGGGGCCGGCGGCGGCGGCACGGTCGGCGGCGCCGGGCGCGGACAGGGCGGAGAGGCGGTCGCCGTCGGGCGGAAGGTTCTCCTTGAGGCCGTCTATCTCGCGCCGGACGCGCTCCTTCTCCTCGTACACGGCCTCCAGATCGTCGAGCAGGCCGAGGCGCGAGCGGTCGAGCTCCCGGAGGCCCGCGCCGATCTCCTCGCGCACGTCGCTCCGCACGGCCCGCAGCGCCTCGCGCGTCTCCCGCTCGCGCGACGCCAACTCCTCTTGGCTCCGCAGCTGCGGGGAAGTTGGGGGGGGGGGGTGGGGCGGCGGATATCGGACACGGGGACATGGGACAGGACACGGGGCTTGGCACACGGGGACACGGGATTCGGGGACATGCAACATGGTACACGGATCACGAGACACGGGGATATGGGACATGGGGACACGGGGAAATGGGACATGGGGACACGGGACACGGGTTACGGAACACGGGGACATGAAACACAGGGACACGGGGACATGGGTCATGAGGCATGGGACACAGGGACACGGGTCACGGGAACATGGGACACGGGTCGCGGGAACACGTAACACGGGGACACGGGAACACTAGACATGGGCCACGGGACACGTGGGAACATGGGACACGGGACAGGGGACACAGGAGCAGGCGGGCGGGAGAGTGGCGAATCGCAGGTTGAATGTCGACCACGATTCACAGGCTAAATACTCAAGTGACCCTTTGCGGGACAAATGTCACTTCTCGAACAGGACACCTCCGAAGTAGTGCCCCCCACCCTCCCGTGGCCCCCCCCCACCCCTCCCGTAGCCCCTCCGCGCCTCCCTCCACCTGCGTGTGCAGCAGCTGGAAGTCGCTCTGCAGGCGCGCGAGCTCGGCGAGGAGCCGCGAGGCCGTGGCGTGGTGTTCGCGAGCGGCCTGCCCCAGCCGGCGGGACTCGGCACGCACGCGGCCACACTCGGCCCGCTCGGCCTGCGGCGCCACCGCACAACAACCGCACAAAAACCGCACACGATTGCAACCACAATCGCACGACCAATGCGCAAACCACACAACCGCACCAATTACAACCACGCCATTAATCACGCGATTACAACCGTACCACAATTACGACCACAATCACACAACAGGACCGGTCTAGATATTCGTCTCTGGTGTTAGTGGCCGTGAGCGGGACTCCGAACTTTGGGTCGCCGGGTTCGTAGCGTGGCGCACTAAACGCTGTGCCACCACTCCTCACCAAAGACCCCCCCCCATATAGCCTTCAACAGATTATTGGGGCAAGTGCTGTTAGCGAGTTGCACGTATGAAGGCCGGCATAGCAACGAGGGGGTAGGTGGCCAGTGGCGATGTTTTCACATCGAACCTCATTTTAAGGGAGGCCAGGACCCGTTCAGAAAATCGTCACTTGGTGTTGGCCGTGAGCGGGAATCGAACTCGGGTCACTGGGGTCATTGAGCAGCGCGCTAACCGCTGCCACTCCCCACCACCACGATCACAAGCGGCGTGCGCATGCGCGCGTTCGTGTGTGCGTCCTCACATCGAGCGCCTCCTGCAGGCGGGCGGCCTGCACCCGAGCATCATCGCGCAGCGCGGACAGCTGCTCCCGGCTCTGCTGGCGCTGGGTGGCGAGCCTGGCGAGCGCCGCCCTCCGCTCCTCCTCCAACTCGCCACGCAGCTGCGCCACCTCCTCGCGCAGCAAGCGCCCCCCCTCCTCCTCCTCCTCGTCGCCCGGCGCCGCCCGCCGCTCTCTGTCGCTCAGCTCCGAGCCTACGGGCGGCGGCGTGGGGAGGTGAGGAGGGAGGTGGAGTAGGAGGAGTGGAGAGCAGACAGAGAGAGAGAGAGAGTGAAGTTTTGTGTGAGTGTTTGAGTGGCAACAGTGTGGGTGTGGGTGCTGTATGGGACATTGATAAGTGAGTGTGTAAGTGAATGACTGTGCAAGTGAGTGAATGAGTGACTGACTGTGTATCTGTGAATATCTGTGTGCGTGACTGCACCAGCGAGTCACTCAGGGAGCGAGTGACTACGCGAGTGAGTGAGCGAGCGAGCGACTGAGCGTGTGCCGTACGCAGCGCCTGGGCCTCTCTCTCCAGCTCCCCGCAGCGTCGCTCGGTGCGCCCCGCGCGCTCAGCCTCCTCGCTCCGCCGCTCCGCCTCCTCCCGGAGACGCGCCACCTCCGCCGCGAGCCTCTCCCGCTCAGCGCCAACCTCGCCGCTCCGCTCCTGCAGCAGTGCCAGCTCCTGCTCCGGCCGCAGAGAGAGACAGAGAGAGTGAGCGGAGGGAAGGGGGGGGGGGGGGGGGGTGGATGATGTGCAGTAAGGCCCACTGAGCTATGTAGGTCTTTGTCAAAAGCGACCTGGCTATCATAAATGATAGCTCAACGAAGTGGCTTATCATCATCACGTGGAAATTTATAGCAGCAGCATACTCTGAATGCATGACGTTCATTTGAAATCTGGTGGGGAAAAACACGCTTCAATGAAATGTACCCTACTAGTAATGGAAGAACTCCACGACTCCAGGAAGTGGCCCCGAAGCTTGCCATAACTTAAGGGACCCTGGTGATTTACAGCCAACGTAAGTTGACCGTGGACAATTAGACCCAAGGCGAAACATAACATATAAAAAAAGATTGTTTAAGATTATATATATTTTTTATGATGGAATATAGTATTGCCATCAGCATGACATAAGTATACCACATTGGGAAGTGGGGTAAAATTGAGTTACAAGATTTGAGGATACGACAACAACAGACAGTGAGTTAATAGAAAGTGTGTAAAAATCCACACGGCTTACGCGGAGAGACAAAGACACATACACTCCAAATATACAGCATGCGTCAGGGTCGAGATTGAACCTATGACCTGTATACCAGGCGAGGTAGTTAACATCTCGCCGCCAATGGCGGCCGCAGCAACGCGAGTATGTGAGAGTGAGTATTATTGAGTAGTCGTTAGCGCGCTGCGCTACGAACCCGGCGGCCCGAGTTTGATTCCCGCTCATGGCGAACAATTGGTCCTGGGCCTCGCCTAGGTCGACTCGGCCTCAAAACGAGTACCTGGTGGGGTGTGTAAACATCGCCGCTGGGGAGACAAAGGTCGTGGTGCTGGCCAGCAACCCTCTCGCGTGCCTTACCGGCCTACTCGCTAGCAGCACTTGCCCCCAGCCGCCTGTCGAAGGCTACGCGGGGGACCTTTGTCTGGTGTGGGCTACGCTGTACCTGCTCGCCCTCGTGCTGGCGCTCGCGCAGCAGCGCCACGCCGCGCTCCGCCTCATCCTGCCGCTCGAGCGCCGCCCGGCAGCGCTGCTCCGCGCGGCTCCCCTCCTCCTGCAGCGCGTCGCGGTGTCGCGCCGCGCTCGTAGCGTCCTGCGCGCACGCACCACCACCGGAGACGCAGGCGACGAATCAACGCACAGGCACAGGCGCTGTACCGTTACCGCACGCGCGCGCACGCACAGGCACAGGCACCGCACCGTCACCACACGCACCGTCACTACACCATCACACACTGTTAACACACACGGGTACCACTGTAGCCCCTCCACCTGCCCACACAGGCCCGCCCCCTGCTTGGGCATCTTCACGGTAGACGCCAGGACACACTTTGTGAAGCCACCCGGACCGTCTTCGGCCGCAACCTGGGACCGTTCCGGTCACACCCGGACCGCTCCGGCCTCACCCAGACCGTCACGGTCACACCCGGACCTAACCAGCCACACCTGGACTGTCACGGCCACATCCGGACCTTCACGGCCACACCCGGACCTTCACGGCCACACCCGGACAGTCTCGGCCACACCTGGACCGTGCCGGCCACACCTGGACCGTTTCGGTCACACCCGTACCGTCCCGGCCACACCGGGACCATCTGGTGGCTCTGATTGTGTTGCCGCTGTTGCGTTGCGTTGCTGTTCCTTGTTTTTGCGTGTGAGGGTGCGAGCAACAGCACTCCGGCCCTGCGCACCTGCTGCAGCTGCTGCAGCTTGCCCTGCTTCTCTTGCAGCTGCTCCTGCAGCGCTAGCAGCTCCGCCCGGGTCGCTGCATTCCACAAAGACAGAGATCCCCCCGTGTAGCCTTGAGAGACAGGGCAAGTGCTATTAACGAGCGACTTATGAAGGCCTGCATGACACACGAGGGGGTGAGTGACCAGCACCACTCCCCGGCCGCCTTTGTCTCCCCAGTGCCGATGTTCACAAACCACACAAGGTAATTAATTGAGGGGAGGCCCAGGACCGGTTCAGATAATAGTTGCTAGTGTTGGCGGCGAATGGAAATTGAACTCGGCTAGCCAAGTTAGTAACACAGTGCATGAATCCCTGTACCACCGCTTCCCATAATCACACACACACACACACGCACATACACACGCACACACGTGCACGCGCACCCGTGCTACACCACCCACACGGCAGCAGCCGCTGCCCCGTGCCACAGTTACCGTGGAGCTGCTGCATTGCCGCCTCCGTCTCCGTGGAAACCGTCTGCTTGAGGGCAGCGGCGCGATCCAGCTGCCCCTGCAGCTCGTCGCGGTCCGCGGTGAGCGAGTTCAGCGTGCAACGAGCGGAGCGCAGCTCCGACTCCACCTCGGCCAGCGCCCTGCACCACAACCACACACGGCGCCCCGTCACCGCGGCACAACCACACACGGCCCAACACCGCCACGCAAACCACACACGGCGCCCCGTCACCGGCGCACAACCACACATTGCGGCCCATCACCACGGCACCCTCAGACGGACGTGGCACCTCGGCGACGCTCACTGCATCACTCCTCACCCGCGCCACCCGCGCCACCCGCGCCACCCGCGCCACTCACGCCTGCGTGTCCGCCAGTGCGGCCTGCGCGTCGTGCGCCTCCCCCTGGGCCCTCGCCGCCTCCTCCGCCGCCTCCCGCTCGCCGTCGCGGCGCCGGCGCTCCCCGGCCTCGCGCTCGCGCCGCGCCAGCTGCTGCAGGCGCTCCAGCTCGGAGCGCTCGCGCCTGCTCGCCGCCAGCACGCTCTCCAGGTCCACGCGTGCCTGCGGAGGGGGGGGGGGGTGGTGGGGAGGAGGAGGGAGAGGAGGAGGAGGAGGAGGGGAGTGAGGAGGAGGAGGAGGAGAAAGGGGAGGAGGAGGAAGAGTCGAGGGGGCAGGGAGAGGAATCAATCTTCATGATCGCCATTATCATCACAATCATTTTCACAACCAATATCAAAAACGCCATCATCACCACCACCACCACCACCACTTATATTGCCACCATCGCCAACATTAATATCGAGTCTAAGGATGTGAGGGGCTGGGCTGGGAGAGGCAGGGCAGGGCTGGGAGGGAAAGGGCTGGGATGGGGGCAGGGCTGGGAGGGAAAGGGCTGGGATGGGGGCAGGGCTGAGAGGGGCAGATTTGGGAGGGGCAGGGCCGCACCTCCAGTGAGTTGGCCTGCAGAGCCTGGAGCTCCTCCTGCCTCTGGCGCTGCTGCAGGCGGAGCTGGTTCAGAGCCTCCTCCTCCACACGCAGAGACTCCGTCACGGTGTGCAGCTCTACAACCACAGTGCCCCACACACAGCCAAAGATCCCCCATATAGCCTTAAAAGACTGTTGGTGCAAGTGCTATTAGTAAGCACCTATGAAGGTCGGAACTGCACACAAGGCGGTGGGTGGCCAGCACCACGGCCGACCTCAATGTTTACACACCACACTATGAATTCAATTGAGGCTGAGTCAACCTCGGGGAGGCCCAGGACCGGATCAAGCAATCGTCACTGGTGTTGGCCGTGAGCGGGAATCGACCTCGGGTCGCCGGGTTCGTAGCGCAGCGTAGCGCTAACCACTACACTGCTGCTTCCACTGATGCACAACAACAACCGCCATCCGCCACTAAGTGGCGATGACGTCACCACGACGCTTGTGCCAGGCGACGTGTACGTTAAGACCACGTGAAGTGTCGAACGCCCACTGGCAGGCGGTCACAGGGCAGACCCAGGTGCCACGGGTCGACTGAGGTGATTGGCCAATGCACCACCTGTGCCCCCTACTGATGCACACACAGAGATACAACAACCGCCATTCGCCACAAAGTGGCGGTGACGTCACCACGACGCTTGTGCCAGGCCATGTGCACCTTGAGGCCACGTGAAGTGTCGAACGCCCGCTGGCAGGTCACGGGGCAGACCCAGGTGCCACGGGTCGACTGACTGAGATGACTGGCTGATGCACCACCTGTGCCCCCTACTGTGCTAACTTGCTGTGCTTTAGCCACCCGGCGCTCCGCTCGTTGTTGTGAGCATCGCTCCTCCGCCCTCCGTTGTTGTTGAAGGGCGACTGCCTCCAACTGCCCAGTAGCATCCTTCACGAGCCTCCTCCACTGAGGCCGATCTTGACACCGCTGGTAACAGCGGTGTCCCCCTCGATCCGGCCGAACAAAAGCTGCTTGGGCATGCGGTGACTGGGCATGCGGGCTACATGACCCAGCCAACGCAGCCTTGCCTGCCGGAGGAGCTCACCGATGGGACTTTGCCCAGATCTTTCAAGGATTTGTGAGCTCCTCACACAATCCAGTCTGGTTAAACCCAGGATGGATCGTAGGCAGGCCAGCCTAAATGTTTCCAACCGGCGAAGATGTTCCATTAGGGGAGTCCACGTTTCGCAAGCGTAGAGAAGGGAGGGAATGACCGTGGCCGAGAAAACCTGAAGCTTAGTGCGGAGCGACAGACCAGGTAGCTTCCTCACAGCGTTACGCAACCGATGAAAATATAATGCCGCTCGACTGATTCGCAGTGAGACCTGTGCTGTCAAACCGGAGCCGGTCATGAGCACACTGCCCAGGTATGGGAAACTCTCCACTCTCTCCACAACTGCCCCATCACAGAGATACACACACACACGCACACACACAGACACGTGTGCATCCCACCGCCTCCCGCCCTCACCGGCGGAGCGAGCGGTGAGCGCCGCCTGCGTCTCGTGCAGCTGCTCTCGCTGCTGCTCGCCGTGCAGCTGCAGGCGCGCCGCCTGCCGCTCCAGCTCGGCCACCTGGTGCTGCAGCTCGAGCTGGCGCGCAGACAGCGACTCCAGCTCCTCACGGCTCTCCTGCGCTCACACGCACATGGGTATACAGAGATACAGACATGGGTATACAGAGATACAGACATGGGTATACAGAGACAGAGACATGGGTATACAGAGACATGGGTATATACACACACACGCACACACAGAGGCATGGGTATACACACAGAGACGCGGGTATACACACACACACATGGTGTTGCGGTGCACGGTGCAGGGTGTCGTGGTGCAGGATGCCGCAGTGCAGGACGGACGCGAATCAGCGAGCGTCTCTCCGCGGCCTCCCTCTCGCCCTCGGTCAGCGCCAGCGCCAGCTCCCTGCGCTTCTCCTCCACGCGCTGCTGCTCCAGCCGCTGCTCCGCGCGCCGCCGCCCCAGCTCGCGTGCCAGCTCCGCCTGCAGGCCCCGTGCCGCCTCCAGCTGTGGGAGAGCGATGTGGGGGGGGCGGGGCAGGGCAGGGGGAGAGGGTCATGGGATTGGAGGACACAGGGGCAGGGGGAGGGGCGGGTTCAATGCCCATGCGAGGTGGCAGCACCCGGCCGCAGATAATGGTTGGTAAAATATTAGTTTTTTGTTATTATCGGCGATTTGTTTACCTTTCCCATACTTTGCACTCCGATCGTGTTTTTGTTTAAGTTTGTCGTAACTTTTTGACCCGACCCTACTGCAACATCTGTGAAAAAGAGCTTCACAGCTCATCGGATTTGTCCAGCGTAAATAAAGATTCTGCTACTGCCAGTGCGGGGCCTCTAGCATATGTTATAATGGGGCTTTAAATAAAAAAAAACACAAATATTAAAACACATTTTTAACTTGCACAGTAAAGTACCGTATTTTCCCGCGTATAGCCCGCATACGCATATAACCCGCAGACGCATATACCCCGCTAAAATAGCGTTTTGTGTAAAACAAATTTCAGATAGCCCGCACCTCCATATACCCCGCATGCATTCATCTAGTTAACGTCGTTACTGCAGCTTAATTCCCTCTCTCTCCCCCCAGCTGCCCCACCCCCCAACCCCCACCTCTCTCTCTCCCCCCAGCTCTCCCGTCGCCGGTAAACAGTGCGCGCACTTCAAACATTGTCGTTTCATTGTACAAACAATTCATTTGAAACGTGATAACATGTGCAATTTTAGTGTGAGTGGCTTATTCAGCAGTGCTTCAATCAAAGGTAAGTGTTGCATAGTGGATAGTCCTACCATGAAAAAAATAAAACGAGTCATGACATGTCACAGGTGTAAAATATTTTTGGGATAGCCCGCAGGGTCTTGTTTTGTTTGTAAAAAGTGGTATACCCCGCGGGTTATATGTGGGAAAATACGGTAATTGTATTTTTTCATTTGCAATACAGCCAGATAATACGACAAATCGCTAACCTTAAACACCCAGTCGTTTATAAAAGTTGAAGGCAGTCCAGTACTATAGTAATAGAGCAAGTGCAGAATCAGTGAACCAGAATTTATAGCTTGAAAGCATTTAGCGCGGGGCCCTTGAAAGTGCGGGGCCCGTAGCTACATATACAGCTGTATGTGCTACTAGGATAATCCGGCACTGGATACTACTACAACTACGCTGGCGCTAGCGCTGCCACCTGCAGCTGCTCCACCGTGCAGCCACGCCATCGCAAGGCGCCAGCTGGCAGCTAAACACCAGCCCATTCTGCACGGTGGGCTGGGTGGATGTAGGTAAAGGTAGTGCTGGGTAGATATGGGTAGGGCTAGTGCTGGGTGGTTAGGGGTAGGGCTAGTGCTGGGTGGTTAGGGTGAGTTGAGGGCTAGTGCTGGCTGGTTAGCCAGCGAGCGAGTGAGTGGGCGTTTGAGGGTCATGTCACCTCCTGATGTAGGCCGTGCAGCGCCGTGCGGTGTGTGTGCAGCGCCGCCTGCAGCTCGCCGAGCGCCGCCTGCCCCTCGGCTCGCTCCTGCTCAGCCCGCACCGTCTCCACGCGCAGCTCCTCCAGCCTGGAACAGCAGCACGGAGATGCGCTCAGGTGTCTCTGCGTGTGAGTGCCGTGTCTCTGTGTGTGAGTGCCGTGTCTCTGCGTGTGAGTGCCGTGTCTCTGTGTGTAAGTGCCGTGTCTCTGTGTGTGAGTGCCGTGTCTCTGCGTGTGAGTGCCGTGTCTCTGCGTGTGAGTGCCGTGTCTCTGTGTGTGAGTGCCATGTCTCTGCGTGTGAGTGCCGTGTCTCTGTGTGTAAGTGCCGTGTCTCTGTGTGTGAGTGCCGTGTCTCTGCGTGTGAGCGCCGTGTCTCTGCGTGTGAGCGCCGTGTCTCTGCGTGTGAGTGCCGTGTCTCTGCGTGTGAGTGCCGTGTCTCTGCGTGTGAGTGCCGTGTCTCTGCGTGTGAGTGCCGTGTCTCTGCGTGTGAGTGCCGTGTCTCTGTGTGTGAGTGCCGTGTCTCTGTGTGTGAGCGCCGTGTCTCTGTGTGTGAGCGCCGTGTCTCTGTGTGTGAGTGCCGTGTCTCTGCGTGTGAGTGCCGTGTCTCTGCGTGTGAGTGCCGTGTCTCTGCGTGTGAGTGCCGTGTCTCTGCGTGTGAGCGCCGTGTCTCTGCGTGTGAGCGCCGTGTCTCTGCGTGTGAGCGCCGTGTCTCTGTGTGTGAGTGCCGTGTCTCTGCGTGTGAGTGCCGTGTCTCTGCGTGTGAGTGCCGTGTCTCTGCGTGTGAGTGCCGTGTCTCTGCGTGTGAGCGCCGTGTCTCTGCGTGTGAGCGCCGTGTCTCTGCGTGTGAGTGCCGTGTCTCTGCGTGTGAGTGCCGTGTCTCTGCGTGTCAGCGCCGTGTCTCTGCGTGTGAGTGCCGTGTCTCTGTGTGAGTGCCGTGTCTCTGTGTGTGAGTGCCGTGTCTCTGTGTGTGAGTGCCGTGTCTCTGTGTGTGAGTGCCGTGTCTCTGTGTGAGTGCCGTGTCTCTGTGTGTGAGTGCCGTGTCTCTGTGTGTGAGTGCCGTGTCTCTGCGTGTGAGTGCCGTGTCTCTGTGTGTGAGTGCCGTGTCTCTGTGTGTGAGTGCCGCGTCTCTGTGTCAGTGCCGTGTCTCTGTGTGTGAGTGCCGTGTCTCTGCCCTGAGTGCCATGTCTCTGTGTGTGAGTGCCGTGTCTCTGTGTGTGAGTGCCGTGTCTCTGCGTGTGAGTGCCGTGTCTCTGTGTGTGAGTGCCGTGTCTCTGTGTGTGAGTGCCGTGTCTCTGTGTGAGTGCCGTGTCTCTGTGTGTGAGTGCCGTGTCTCTGCCCATGAGTGCCGTGTCTCTGTGTGTGAGTGCCGTGTCTCTGCGTGTGAGTGCCGTGTCTCTGCCCGTGAGTGCCGTGTCTCTGTGTGTGAGTGCCGTGTCTCTGCGTGTGAGTGCCGTGTCTCTGCGTGTGAGCGCCGTGTCTCTGTGTGTGAGTACCGTGTCTCTGTGTGTGAGTGCCGTGTCTCTGCGTGTGAGTACCGTGTCTCTGTGTGTGAGTGCCGTGTCTCTGTGTGTGAGTGCCGTGTCACTGTGTGTGAGTGCCGTGTCTCTGTGTGTGAGTGCCGTGTCTCTGCGTGTGAGTGCCGTGTCTCTGCCCGTGAGTGCCGTGTCTCTGCGTGTGAGCGCCGTGTCTCTGCGTGTGAGTGCCGTGTCTCTGTGTGCGAGTGCCGTGTCTCTGTGTGTGAGTGCCGTGTCTCTGCGTGAGTGCCGTGTCTCTGCGTGTGAGTGCCGTGTCTCTGTGTGCGAGTGCCGTGTCTCTGCGTGTGAGTGCCGTGTCTCTGCCCGCGAGTGCCGTGTCTCTGCGCGTGAGTGCCGTGTCTCTGTGTGTGAGTGCCGTGTCTC